GGCTATTATTTACACTATTTTGCCAACTGCCTGGCACATTGTCACAAGTTTAAACCTTTTTTTATATCATAAGTTCACATTGCAATCAGTCCAAGCACAATAAATAAGCCACAGGCGAGCTGTCAGTGTGGAGTACAATGGGTGGAGCAAAAAGAGTTAAGGCCAATTTATGCTTTTGACGCATAGCCTCTGCAACCGTCAAACGTGTCTCCGTTGTCGGGCACCTCAAAAAAATCCTGACTAAGCGTCAGCAGCAGTTTGTCGCAGTGAGCTTGATGCAGACATTCTTGATTTATGCTCAATTTTGAAGAGTTGTCTGCGCTATATGCTGTGGGTCTAGATACTGCTGAGGCGGTGAGAAAGTGGGGGCGAGTTTTTCCGACAACGGTGGGACATGAGGGTGAAAAATAACAAGGATTCAGGTGGAAAAAGGCTCCCAGCATTCTTGCGCACCTCGCTGTTCTAGCTGGTCCATCTTCACGAGTTGTTTTCCGCAATTTCAAAACAAACAAAAGAAGCCGGCCTCCTGTTTGCAGCACTGTCTGCGTTCACCTACAATTTGGGGAGGTGCAGCAGAGTGTCTGTGGAGGGGGCGGAGATGTCTTTTTGTTCACTGCGACACCTACGCAGATGACCTGGTTTCAAAGTATAACTCAGACGGTCGCAAACCCGCGCAGACCTCAAGCGGAAGTGCACAGACAAAAAGCAGCTGTGATTGATCCTTGGTATGCTTTTCCTGTGTGTTCGGTGGTGCTTCTCGATTCGGTGCGATCCGCCGAAGTTCTTGCAAGTTCTCTAATAGGCTCCCCCTTGCGCTTTTGCAGAAGCATACCAGCAAAACTGGTTCGCGACATTTGATGTGTGCGGATGCAGAAGTATAATCTGCCCTTAAGACTTAAGGCTGATTTATACTTCGAAACAACTAGTCGCTGGGACCTTTTTTCCACCTGGATCCCAGCTATTTTTTTGCCCTCATGTCCCTCCATTGTCGGACAAACTTGCCCCCACTTCTTCACTGCCTCGGCCGTTTCTAGATTCACAGGGTATAGCGCAAACCACGCTTCAAAATTGAGAATAAAATGAAAATGTCTGCGTCAAGCTCACTGCGACACACTGCTGCAGGGAGTATGACCAGCCCTTTAGAGGAGTACAAGGAAGAGGATGTGGAGGTGAAGAAGAGGGAGGAAGAGGAGACCAATGTTGGTGCAATGTTGCAATGTTAGTCTCCATAGGACTGCTTTGGTCAGCAACCGGTTTACAGATCAACCCATCCTTCAGCCCCCTTAACCTCCCACCATACTCTCCATTCTTGAATCAGATTGAAGAGTCTCTCTGCCTGGCGCTGGAGGATCTATAACTGTAATCCCCATCAACCAACAGCCCTTTTAAAGGCAATGGAGGACGCATTTCGGGATATTGACCAGGCGTCATGTCAGGCCTGAATATGCAGAGGGGGTGAACAAAGAATTTGTGAATTTTGTGATCCCTGTGTGTGTTGTATACACATTGATTTCTTATGGTTTCTTGTGTGTCTTGTGTTAACTGCTTGATAAAAAAAAAATAACATAATTTTTACAAAGGTTTTAAGAGTTACTACAATGTTTTGCTGATTCTGAAAAAAAAAAAAAAGTTTACTTATTTGTGTGTAGATTTTTTCAATAATAGCCATTAGTTACAAAAATTGTGCAATCAGAAAACGCTGTAATAGCCTTATATGTATATAGTTTTTCTAGGAATACGTTGATCATTTGGAAATTGAGGGTGAAGCAGTTGCTTGTGTTTACAGTTCCTCAAAAAGAGTGTTGTGCAAAGCAATGTTTTTGCTTTTAGCTTTGCAAACTTAGTGAATGGCTTTGCAATAAGTATTAATAGTTTTAGATATTGTGCTATATAAATCACTTTTAGGGTTTAAGCATTCAGAAAAAAAAATGCTACTAAGGTCAGATATTGGTATAATCCCTGTTTTTATCAGGTCTTCAGAGGTGACTTCCTACTCTCCATCTGCCTTTATTTTTTTTTATAAAATAAGTACAGCAAGCTCCTGCTTGTGCCAATAATTCACGCTAGCTTCTTGCTTTTCTAGCCATATTGGGGTCTGGATTGCAATCTTCTTGTCAGAGCTCTCCAAGTCTGACCAAGATTTTTATCTTATGGGAAAGTAAGAATAATAAAATGCAAAGTGCTGTTAAACCTGTATTCACCCACTCGCTACTGAATAGCTGAATGCTATATATCTTCAGTGGTTCACCTTATGTAACACCTAAGTGCTCATTGGAATTCTTTTATAATAAGTATATTTAAGTGATTCTTGCTTCAAAAACGTTTCTTTTTCAGCTTAAGGATTTGGCAGCAAAAGAGCTACAACGTTTATGCTGTTTTGTGGAGGTATTAAGGGCAAACCTTTTTAAATTAATTGTATTTAATTACTTGGAACATTTTCATTATGAATGACCTTTAAGGTCAAGCCTGTCTGTCTGTCTGTCTATGTATCTACAGTCATATGAAAAAGTTTGGACTCCCCTATTAATCTTTATTATTTTTATTCCTAAATATTTGGGTGTTTGCAAAAGCTATTTCAGTTTGATATATCTAATAAACAATGGACACAGTAATATCTCAGTATTGAATTGAGGTTTATGGACTAACAGAAAAGGTGCAATATGCATTAAAACAAGATTTGACAGGTGCAATAATATGGGCACCTCAGCAAAAAAGAGACATTAATGTTTAGTAGATCCTCCTTTTGCAAAAAACAACAGCCTTTAGTAGCTTCCTGTAGCTTTTAATGAGTTCCTGTATCCTGGATGAAGGGATTTTTGACAGTTCTTTGCAAAATTATTCCAGTTCAGTTAAGTTAGATGAATGCCTGAGTAGATTTTGAGCAGTGTTTTGGATCATTGTCTTGCTAAAATATTAATCTCTGGCATAACTTTAACTTCGTAACTGATTCTTGAACATTAGTCTCAAGAATCGGCTGATTTTGAATGGAATCCATGCGACCCTCAACTTTAACAAGATTCCCAGTGCCAGCATTGGCAACGCAGTCCCAAAGCATGATGGATTCTCCACCAAATTTTACAATTGTTAGCAAGTGTTTTTCTTGGAACGCTGTGTTTTTTTTGCCGCCACTCATAACGCCTTTTTATGACCAAAATGTCTGTCTGTCTGTCTGTCTGTCTGTCTGTCTGTCTGTCTGTCTGTCTGTCTGTCTGTCTGTCTGTCTAAATGTTGGCTCTATTTGGGGGTTAATATCTCTTGCTGTAGTTCGTTGGACTTAAAAACCCTGGAAAAGTCTTTGTAACCCTTTAGGGAACATATGAATACATTTTTATTTATTTATTTAAATTTAATTAATTAAATTTTTATATACATTTTTATATAGACCAAGACATGATTTTTTGATTTTCGTGATCTTGCCCTAATTGATTTAGTCACAGAAGCTTTCTTTATGTGATGTCTTAATGCTACAGGTAAGTCAGTTATCAGTGCAAAAGAAACAAACAGAAAAAGTAAAAATCTGGGAAAAAAAAGATCAAATAAAAAATTACCATTATGATTTTTAATACTAACAAAGAGAAATTATTCAAAAGAACTTACAAAGCAGAAATGGTTAACTAACCATCTAATGTGTTACAAGTTTGACTGGAATAGGCACATCGGTGCTTTTTTTCTTAAGGATTTTAGCTGAGCTCATCTTAAATCACAGCCAGGAGCCAATTGCCCACCTAAACACCCTGCTGTTTGAGCAGCATCTTGATAAAGGGCTCATTTAAAAGAAACAGGAGAACTAGGAGGAAATACGATGACGGGGGGAAGGCCGGGGCCAAAAAAAGGGGTCATGGGCATCAGGGTTGGTATTAAATTACATTACTGTTTCCTTAAGAATGTAGCGCAACTCTTTTGGTACTGTTTACTACTCTGCATTTGCTGTTGGTTTCTTTCTAGAAAAGGGCGGGTATTTTCTTTTACAACTCATTTAGCATACCTTCACCAGTGGTTCCAGATGTGTAATTTATAGGGAGCATGAGAAGTGCAAGCACAATGGTGAACAAAGGCAAAGCTGAGATCCTCCGGTTTCAGTGGGCTGCTTTCAGGAGTCTGTAGAAGTGTGAAGGGTTTAAGGGGATCCTGTGGTGTCCGAACAAATGCCGTTGTTGATTGATGGCCCTGCTGAGGGACTGGGGGGGGCATCAGGCTACTGAAATGGATTAATACTATTAGCATAAGAGTGGATTCCACCTTTGTTTCGATTCTGATATTCTATGCTACGGTCTGTTTCCATAAGCCTATTAAGGAGCTGAATGTCACAGCTTATTGTCTGCTATCACCTATTATTGTGCGATGGATTACAGCTCACATCATATCCCAGCCTGCGTAAGGAAAGAAACAAGAAGCAGTGCTCAGCACACATTTTCTGTCACTTACTTTTGGACGACTGAGGCGCTGGAAATTCACCCACCAAGCAAAAAATTGGTTGAAAAGACATTTTAAGGAAAACATTATTAGGTCCAAACGATGTCATACATTTGATTGAAAAGTGAAAGGGGAAAAGCTGTAATTTTAAGATAATTGAAAAGACGTTGAAAGCCGGGTTTGCAACGTGTTTTCAACTTCTAATATTGGATCAAAGTGGGACAAAATCAGACTGACCAAACACAGCCCAATTTTCAACAAGGGTATTTTTTTTTAAATAAATCGAGATTATGACGGACCGACCAGACCGACCAGATCTAGCCCAAAAACTAATGTCTAAATGATGTGTGGTGTTTGGGGGGGACAATTTCATGTAAACCTAAAAAGGGAAAGTAATGCAAAGCACGAAAATATTTTTAAATAAGAAACACCCAAGGAAGAACTTATGTTCTTTCTTTCCATTTTCATTGCTTCTTTTTTTCATAAAAAGGGTGGTGGCATAGAGGAAGGGTTAACGTAAACCAGTGGAATAAGGGGGTGTAGGGCTGGGTCTTTGTAAGAGAGGAAAGAGGGGGGGTGGCTATATAATAACTGACAGAACACAAGTGGTGCTTTATCCAGTCTTTCCCTCCCTGGGTAAGAGGAAACCCTAAACTGCTCTGGCCCTTTTCCTTGTGCTCTTTCTTCCCTCTCTATTCTCTCACTACCGCGTGAGTGCACTCAGGAAGAGAATGGCAGCATCATCTGGACAGAGAAAAAACAGGCCGTCCCAAATGTTGGCTTTAGCTCTGCTTCTCATCACCCAGCTTTTGAGCGGTAAGTAAAAATAACCGGTTCCAAGATGGTCAGCTCTGAGGGATTGAATAGCCATGCTTTAGGAGAGGGGGGCTTGGAATGGGTGGGGCTGGAATGGAGTAGTGTTTGTTTATATGGTCAGTTCAACTCAAGTTTTAACCCTACAACTATTCCACTCTCTGAAATCTGAGACTCTCTCAACAGATCATTTAGGGAAAAAAATAAAATAAAATTCAATCTTTGGTTTTGAAAGAAAAAGATTTACTATGAATTTCAAATTTTCATTTCTTTACAAATTATTTTATAGTAGTATTACCATTAATGGTTGTTTTAAAAATGTGGATCTACAATGTATTGTTTGCTAACTCACTAAATGTTTTATGATTAGATATGTACAATTCTTTCCTGCCCGTTTGCAATTTTTTTTTTTTTATTAAACTGTTTTCTCATGACCTTCAAAGAAGTTGGAGGAATGTGTTTATATTTAGCTGGAAGGAATATGAGGCTGGCCGATGCATGCGAGAGAGAAGGGCGTGGAGCCTGGGTGTTAACGTTCATCTTGAATGTGCCTGACTGATGCAGAAGGAGTTTTAGGAACAAAAAGGATGCACACAAAGAAGACCTGGCTTACATAAATATGCATATTGTTTATGCATAATTCATTTTAAAGGAACAAATATCTATTATGAAAATAATAGAAATGATAGTATATGTTTGTAAAGTTAATGATTAAAAGTCATTTATATTTAATAAAAGTGTGATCAATATGTGGTCTATCAGAAAATTGGAAAAATAACTTAATTTGAAGAGAACTAAAAATAACCACAAACTCTCAAAAAAGTTATTAAACTATCAGACTTATACTTTTAATATAAAGCAAAATGTAAATATGTCATTACATACGGCCACCGCTCTGCTCTTTAAATTGCCTCCAATGGCAGAAGATCAAAAAGTCTGACTGCATAATGGATTCAAAGACCCGATATATTACCTGAAGCTTATGATGTCCACAAAGTCATTATAAAAGTAAGGAAATATAGAAAAACAAAAATGTAGTGTTTAAATGAGGTGCAATTACAATATAGTTTGCAGCACTCTGTTGTGGCTGGAAATAAAAACATATCGGTCTCCCTAATTCAATCCTCCTGTCTTTTTCATGGAGGGTAGGCTGCAATAATGAGATCATCAACCAAGAGAGGCAGCTGTGTTCGATTTGTATAATGAAGCAGCACGGATACAATTACAACCTAAAGATTCATAATCAGCTGCAGAAAAACTTTTATATTTCTGATCAAATACATATTTAAAAAAATCTTGAATAGCACTACAGTTCATGTAGTTCCAACTATGTGACACGCCCCATCTGCATCAAATGTGTGGGAAAAATGCTGAGGGAGAGAATGTGAGATGTTAGGGCAAAGTATCAGTTTCCTTTAACTGAACATACCACAGGCTTCCCTCAATAGACACCAAGAAGCTATGAAAAGAGACAAGCAAATTATGTTCCTTAGGAAAAATGTTTTGTACAACTTTAGCAGGATTGAACCAAAGATGAAGATAAAATGGAACAAAGGGAAACTATGTTGTTCTTAGTTTAAGGTGCTGTTATGAAGTCGTTATAAACTCAAGACATAAAACAGTGAAGTACAAAACAACACAGAGCTTTAAAAAAAGTTACCTATTTGCTGCCTTTGGAAAGCAATCTTGCTTATTTTGGTTGGTTGCTGAAAGGTTGTTTTCCTTTTTCCCCTTATATCCAAAATGCTTTTTTAAATGTTTCAGAGTCCACACACTCCCAAATTTAACTAGCGGTTCTGACAATGTGATAAAGGGCAATTATGCAATTTTAACATTTTACTTTATCGACACTTAGCTTCAACTTCCTTTTGTTTTCTAACAAGCTGCTGATGCATTAAGTGAAAAATCATCTGAATCTAAAAAGAAACTGCAGCTCTAACTTAAAATAATGGATGTAACTGGTACAAAGTAATTGAATTAGGTTTGTCCAAGTTCATTTAAGTTTTCAGCTTATAAACTTAATAAGTTGGATCAACTTAATTCAATTACTTGTAACTTATTGAAGCCATTCATTTAAGTTGGATTTGCATTTTTGTTTTAGAGTGTATAAATCTCTCAGTGTATCAAAATGAATAAGCATCTTAACTCTGAGTTAGAAAATTCAACAGAAGCACAAATTAAAAACTATGACGTTCAAAGTGCTGACATTAAATTCATATTTAGGATATTTCTATCTGGAAAACTTTAGCATAAACACATGTGGACTGTACATAAACCAGCTTCTGCTCTGCCTATGCTGTGAAGTGGTTTAAGGAATTTCTCCAGTGAAGCAATGAACCCTGCCCAACCTCACTGCCAACCCCTGGGCATGTAATTATGGAAATCATTGTTTTCATAGCAGCCATTGAAGTAACAGATGTACTGAGGAATTACAGAAGAAATGTCAACAACATAGTGCTCATTCCATCGCATGAGGGAAAGAGCTCGTAATGCGCCAAGTCGAATTTCAGGTTCAAGCTGCAGAGGAGAGCACGAAAGTAGACAGAAACATCTAAAAGAAAATCTTTATTCACACCAGTGACTGTTTTTTTAGTTGCAAATAAAAATTCTTACTTTGAAATAAACTCAGTTTGTTTTCAGCAACTTCTTTGTGTTTAGTTCATTTTCTTTACGTACATTCAGCAATCCAGTATGGAAGTGACTGACTCCATAATTTCTGACCCCGCCTTCCTATATAAACACGAGTAATTGCAAAGTCTTTCTCTGGATTTTGAGACAGACACAGGTTAGATAAAAATCATTTCTGGACATAATTAGTGTGGAGCCTCTGAGCAGTCAATGCGTGACTGCAACAAAATCTCCTCACTATCTACCAGCACACACTCACACCAGACAGGCTCATTCAAAGATAATGCAGAAGGCAGTGAAACTTTAGGACTCAATTGTAAGTTTGTGTGTGTTTGAGAAGGAGAGGGGCGAGGAAGTGATACAACCCCCTCCCCCAAATTGAAAGCAGATGTCATGTTTCCTGATTGTGGCTCCTTAGAAACAGGCATCACGCTCTTGATAAAGAGCTGCAGAGGCCTCAGGGTTGGGTCGGGTGAAATCTGCAGCTGGGTAGGCGCTGGGTAAAGTCAGCTCTGGCTTTTTGGCCTGATTGAAACCATAAGATGAAGTTTGTTTCCAACCATTAAAGAAGAATAGCCTTGGTCCTTCTATTAATCGCTGTGACAGGAATGACAGGGGAGGGGCTGCGGGGGGGTTGGGTCGGCGCAGTGAGATGGTCAAGATGGCGAGGTCAGTGGTCTGTTGTTTCAAAGAGGGCAGGATTCCACAGCATGTTTAACCTCACGAAACCGTTCTCCGATGTCACATTCCTCTGCACACTCTTAAAAATAGACTCTTTAAGAAGGCTGAGGGTTTAATTTATAGAAAACAATCCTTCTTTTAGAATAAAACCCCAGACATAAAACTTAATATAGTTGGGAATATTTTGCAGGGAAAATAATAAGCTCTTTATAAAAAGTGATTAAAAATAATGATGTTAATCGTTTTTTTATGGAATGGATCTTTCTTACTTAATTAAAGAAAAAAAATACTATCATATTTTGGTGACTGTGATGATCTAGAACTGGTCCAGGGTATACCTTCTTACCCAGTGACCACCACCACCTTCAATCATCTGACTGCAATAAATCAAACTCTCTAAAATGCTCTTTGGTATGAGTATACCTATTTGCTGCTCAAAGAGAACTGTTCATCTTATTTTACCTACAAAGTCAGGTGATTTTGTGAAAGAGGGGAAATTTTGGAGGTCATCACTTTTTTCACAATGTTAGTCATAGGAGTATGAGGGTCTAAGATAGGACATAGAAATGTATGAAAAATGAATGAAAGTCTGTGATTTCCCTGTGATGGGTGTCAACCTGTGATTGGTGCACCTGCCTCTTGCTTAATAATAAAGTGAGTTTTGTAGGCGTCCTTTCTGACGCACTTTTCTAGTTTTACCTACTTATTTTCTATAGAATTTAATCAATGCTTTGTTATGCTCAATGTAAACTTTGCCTTGATTTCTTGGTAACTAATTTGACGATATGTTTGGGACGAGTATATTTTTGTGGTGACCGTTGCTCAGTAGCAACAGTAGATACTTGCATTAGTTGTAGGTTTGATTCCAGGCCTCCTTCCATGTACTTAGGTTAGAAAAGGTGACTACTGCTCTAGCCATTGGTGTCTGAATGTGTGCGTGTTTGAGAGTGACATTGGGTGAATGCGGCTATAGTAAAGTGCGTTAGGGGGCTACGAATATGACTAGAAAAGCACTTTATAAATTCATTCATTCCATTTACAGTTAGGAAAAACCTATTTATCTCCAACCTTTGAATGGACCTCATGTACTATGACTAACCTCCTGGATTATTTTTTGAGACATTACTTTTATATTTCGGTGTAATATTCTTTCATAATGATTCCGTCCAATCACCTTCCACTCCCTATATCTCACAGATGAGATGGTGTTTCCCAGGTTGCCAACTGCCTCTTTTTTCCTCCAGATTAAGTCATAGTTGTGGTAACAAACTCTAGTTTTATCAGACCACAGAACATTTCTTATCTACATGTGTTTTGGTTACGATGTTGAATGTTAGCTATAAGCGAAATAAGTAAAACCTGCTGACGAACAGACTGTTTTATGGAACAGGCTGTCGTGTCGTAACCTTTGCAAGTTAGATGCAGCCATAAAGAGGAGTAGTTGCAAGGACTTTGACATGGTGGTCAGTTAATGTGTGCGGGCCATTATCACCTCACTATGCCCAATTACAGAGCACAGCTTGTTTTCTGTCCTGTAAAGAACCAGTTAGGGGCTTTGACCCTCGGTGACATCATGCACACATGGTGCAAACATTTGTCCCAGCTGATTACATCACAGTAGATAGCACTAAACGGAGGTGTAAAAGCATGTGATCCAATCGCTCAACCAAGATTCATAGGAGAACTAGATGTGT